GTTAAAAACACCTATAAGTGCGGATATTAGTACATTTTTGGACTCTCATGCTCTTCTTACCCTTACCGTTTACTTCAATTCCATTCATATTCTCCAACCTATTTTGTTTTTTTCCCACTTCTTACTTCAATAAATTTGCCTCTGCTGTCGTTTTTTCTGATTTTATTTCAACAAATGTTTCTTTCTTTTAAAATAAAAGTATTTTCTCTGTTTTTACCGCTCACTCTCTCCTTTTACAACATAAACACGTTTCGATCCCAAGACAGTAGACCAACGGCATTGTCAAATGATGGTATAAGAGACGATTTAGTGCAAAATTGGCTAGAATTTATCACTTTTTAGCGTCACGCTCAAACCACTGTAGATTATGCGACTTTTTTCTTATTTTTCCCCAGCAGCTTTGCCGTATCGGAATCATATAAAGAGCTATACGAAGAGCATGATTGTTCACTGTCCGAATCGCCATAACTTTGAGCATCTTCATGATATCGAAGTTCAGAATCACCGTTTACTTTTTCAACACCTTTAACAAGCAAAATTTAGTGCACAGATTAAAAAAGTTTTTGAACAAATTTAGTTACTTTTTTCGATAACTTTCATATATAACTGCTGTAAAAGTCATTAAATAACAATTGTTGCAAACGGATTAGAAGCGAAGCAGACAAACAGACCGTAGTTATCAAAGCCGAACTCCGAACTGAGGTCGTATTTAATAGACCAGAAGTTTTCTGGCACTAATGGTTGTTGATCCTGAAGTGGTTTCGTACCAATGTAGATCGGCATCTAAAATGAGCAGCATCAGGAAATTGTCACGGAGAGAAATGAAAAAAAATTCAAGTAAAAAATTCGACATGTTTTTTTGAAGCTTCTTATTTGGTTTAAGACCGCCTTAAATAAATGTTGTACTTCAGGAATTTATTAAAACTTATTACCAAACCTCTTCACCCCAACAAAAAAAAAGCTAGCAATGCATACATATTCGATATGTAATATTTACTTTCACAGAACTTAGAATATTCTTTTTACTACGACATTTCCTAGTACGAGCTATGTCGAGCTTCAATGAGTAGCTTAGCTTCAAAATCCCGTCCAGTTCGAAATTTGGGACCAATGCCGGGATAAAAAATGATGGGCTATATTTAAATGATTGACCAGCCTGTATTTTTCGAATTGGTAATCCAGTACCTGCAAATAATGTTAGTAAACAAAGCCAATAAAAAGAAGCGCTGTTTTCCAAAAAATTTATTATGATTGAAACTGCAAACCCCGTTTTTGCAAGCTTCTTTGTTTTCGTAATTTAGAAAATTCTCAAAAATCTAAACAGCAAAAAAGGGTTCATTCAATTGTAGTGCCTTCAAAAAAGATTAAGATCATTTTTGGGTAAAAATACACTGATCGCAACGTAAAAAGTAAGATCTTGTAACATACCTGCCGTATCCGTATAGTACTCAACAGATGATGGAAAAGGATACGTTGCAAAACCGCATAAATGCTTCTGTATTACTAAATTTGCATATTTTATTGAATGTCGAGAGCTGAAGTAAAAATATAGTCAGTTTTCTATAGTAGATGTAAAATTTTACACTGTTACCTCTAACTGCTATTGACTAGAAAATTTTTTTATAAATATTTCTGTAGGAACTGCTCTTACCATGGGTTTAAATTGAACTATCCAAACGAAAAACTGTTTTCCTAAACAGTAGGATAATTGATGCACTGATATAATAAGGTATTTTAAATGGTATGTTTAGAAAGATTGCACGCTCCAGCTGTTCATCGGTATTTTTGCTACACAGATTACACTTATCAAATAATATGTATAATTTTTCATTTAGCTTAGCTATGTTCTTCATCCACTCATCATTTAATCGTTTCGCTAAGTAAACTAATGCTAACTAAATGACATGCCTATCATAATGACAATTATTCCTTCCTTTCTTTTTTCAACAAAACCTTAAATTTAGTACTATAAATCAATATTTGTTTCAGTTAAATCATTTTTCTTGCATTTCCTTTTCGTGGTATACTTTAAATTCCATTACAGTTCTAATGTTATGTAACGACAAAAATAAAGGTAAAGTTATACCGGTTATCTATCCGAATCGTTAGTGGAACACGTTCTGTAGGTACGAAACCGCATTGGTCAACTGCTACACTAACGTTTATGTAGCCACCTCTAAAGGTGTTGTTTAAAATTTTGTAATAGTTTCAAGAAGATAATTGCAAAACTGATTATCCAAAAATATACTGAAAAATCTGAATATTAAACCTTTTAATTTTCAGATTTTTGTAAAATAAATAACAAGTACTTTACAGCAGTGTTAAGTATTATTAAATCATGAAAAGCTTTTTGGCAAGTTCTGCGCAGCAGAAAAAAAGCTTACAAATTACCAACCAATATGCATTAAATTTACTAGATTGTTAATTCTGTAAATGTGTTTTATTTCATTTGTAATCAAAAAACTGTCCTCGGTTCTTTGTAATTTAAACAAATAAAAGGTAATGCAATTTTCCAAAAAATATGTGCTTTCTTTGATTTAAAAAAATTAAGTGTACATCCTTAGCCTATATTCAAACTCAGCATATCAAATCACATAAGTTGTTATTTCATAAACTTTCTTTTGCAGTTTTAATTACAAAGGAATGTTAGACTGCTGCTACAAGTGTAGGTGCGGGTAGTTCATTCTAAAAAACTAAAACTGATGACTAAATAAACAATGATTGAAAGAGAAGGTTCAAAAAATCAAGAAAAAGATCAAAGATCAGAAATTTGAAATTTGTGTTACTTCCACTAAAAGCAAATAACAAGGAAAAAAAGTAGTTTGAAGTGTTAGGTAAGGCGAATAATGTATTTGAGATGTACTCTGCATCTCAGCATAACCAAATCTGTAAGATAACGTTACATTGAATTATATAATTCTAAAAAAACTTTCACTCACTTACTTATTGAAAGTAATCTTTTCGATAACCTCTTTAGCTTCACGAGCTTCTGGAAAATCCATTAGGTCAACAGGACATACTACAGGAAATTCCGATTTTCCAGCTGCAATAACCTGTTGATAGTTATAGCACTGTACCTAAACAGTTGTCACTAATCTAAATACAGATCAGCATATTGCTAAAAAGTATCACTTTAGCCTGTTTGTTGTAAATTAATTTTGCAACTTTTGGCATCATTAAAACATTCAACAAACAATCTAAAAAAGTCAACAAAAACTTCAAAACTATTATTAAGCAGTGGTTGAACTGCTAAAATCAAACCTTGACAAAATACCGGACACCACAGTCATGATCAGTGTAAGAAACGCCAAGACCGGACTTTGGTAGATTAAAACTAAACCCCAGAGTGTGTCGACCAGCATTGAAACCTGGCTCATTTTCATTTCGTTCAAGTTTTTTTGGACGTATTGACAAAGATGTTGCCTTTTTTACAATTTCTTCGAGCTAAAATTTGCTACTGATTAATTTTTATTACAACTAAACATGCAGTACCTATACAAATTGATAATGTTTTGTTAAATGCTTCTTAAGATAAACTAGTAATTTCTGATAGTAATACATCCGTGTAAAAGGATGTAAACAACAAGCAAAAGAAGTTTTCAAATAGTGCTAAATAAAAGTTGAACTGACTGTATCAAAATTTGATCTGGTTTAAAAAATCTGCGCTATAAACACCAGTGACAAAATTGCAGTTAAAAACTACGATTTTGGCTGTTAATTAAGCAAAAACTTAACTCTTTGTTCATTAAAATCATCTCTGTTTGAGGTTTTCGTTGACTCCAGGATATAATTTTACAGTAGTTTGTTGCGTTTATTGAACAGATTAGAAATTAAGAAGTTAAGCTAGCCGTTCACTTATATTTTTCTCAATACTCCTCACAGCTGATGTTCAGCTCTATTCTTCTGAACAATGCAAAAAAAAAAAAAAAAAAAAAAAAAAAAAAAA